AGGATCCGTACGTTTAGTGGCCGCGAAGACGGAGGGCGACGAGATGGGCCAATACGTCATGGCGGTCTACCGCAAGCGATGGCTGCATTTGCGCGCGCCCATCTCAATGCGGGGATGTATGCTTCACGGAGCTCATGCTAGCTGGGTTGGTGCAGGGGAGGCTGGTGGTGGAGCTGGGCGGTGAAGTCACGCGAGGCGCAGCAATGTGGCTGCCGCATCCGTGCTCACATGTGCAGGCAGTACGCGTATCGCGGGGGGAAGATGCGATGGCCGTCCCGCCCATGCACCACACTAAAACATCACAACGGACGTATTGCTCCAAGGGCTTATTGTGAGATGTGGCCGAGAGATGACGGACCGATGTCGAATATACTGCATTCGGAAGGGAAGCTTCACCGTCGATTACGGTGCGCAGATGCGCATTTGCGCACATGCATGAGCCAAGAAATCACAGAAGCCCCGAAAATATCCTGCTTTGCCAACTATCCAAAAGCACTGCGTCTAGCCACTTTATTTGAACTGGATTTGAGCGCATGTTGAAGAGAGCAAACTTAGATGTCTACGTTGCATTAGGGATTGGTTAGCTTTCGTTGCTTCCACAGATGTAGACAGTAGGGCACTTGTTTACTCCCAGGGTTCCTCCTTGTGCGAGGTGTAGCAGTGAGATCGTACTCGCCCTTCTTCCTTGTGTTTGAAGTGCGAAATATGGTGTGCATCTCAATAGAGTTGGGGTATGCTTCGCCACTGTTCCGCAAGCAGTGAGACAGCCTTTCTGGAAGCATGCATCGGCCAGTCAATGTTGCAGCGGCAGAAGCTCTCGCTTTGTCCAAGAAAAGAAATAATACGTGTTAAAAGCAAGTAACCTTATGGTGTACATCGCCTCAAAATTTGATCAACTTCTGGTTCAAGGCCCAGATAGACTACAAATCACTTGTAATACCATTCCGATACGAAGTGGCTCGGTAGCGATGCCGATCTTGACTTCTTTGGTGTTCTTTCTCTAGCGGTTAGGTTGCATTTGGTCCAAGGTCGGCGTTGGTGTGGTCCATTTTACCCAACTGCCCCGCGTCGCTCAAGTGAATTTTTCCACAACCAACATGTGCCCTGGAATATAAACGCACGGTATGCTCGATCTTCCATCAATTCCTAGAGAAGGACAGATGGCCGGTTAGTCTAAACACCTCCATCTTCAACGCATCCATTCTAACATCCCATCCAGAGCTGGTTATGGCGCCAGGTTAAGGTTTCTTAACGTTAAGTCTAAGGAAGAAATTTCTAGACGTCCTGGTCACGAAAGTGGCGTGGGTTCGAGTCCCACTCTGTTCAGCATTCGTCTGGTATTACCAGATACTCCAGGATATTTTTTTTCGCTGTTTTGTGGCACTCGTGGGGCATTTCATAGTCACGCCCTTGTTTTTTGCCACGAGACGCTGCACACAACACAAGTCCATTCAAAGCCTCGTTCGAGAGACATTCCTTTGTCTGCGGAATATATTATTTATCTTTAGAACCTAATGGCTGACTTAAGATGGTTTGGTACAATACCTGTCCAGGCAAAATTTCAGATGATGCAAGCGTCCGAATCTTTCACAGATACTCCGCACTACCAAGATTATGCCAGAGCTGTAGCCCCTGTCTTAAATGTAGTACAGCTTCTAACGTGCCTTTCTTTGTGCACTCCCACAGTGCAAGGGTAAAGCAGCTATTATGGATGTACGATTGCCCATCATAGATCACTGCTCGACTACAAGAGACCTCCATTATCCTCTAGTTCCCACCATCATTGTTATCGAAGCTGGAAGTAAGACAAAAGATGCATGACAGCTTAGAACTTTGTAAGTGTGGTGAGCCGCAAAGGCACAGAAGTAGTCCGGCAGAAAGAAGAGGCCGGACCTGTAGGACGAGCCGAAACCATGAACCAGCGCTTTAGTGACAGCTACCAAGACTTCGATGGAGATACCATAATTCAGTCGTTTGTCTGAAGGCCCGCATAATTGTTCTTTACTAATGGCTGGGCTCAAGCTTGTAGAAGCCAGGCGACTACAAATCTGGCGATCTGTCACAAGGGTGAACATAGCACCTTGTCTCGACTGACATCGAGCTTCAAGTCTAGGATTCTGATATCGACGTTCGGAGAGATGGTGAACCGCGCGTGTGGAGCACATGGCTCGCCGATGTACTAGTCTCAATTAGGTCACGCTAGAAGAGAACCCCGGCCCGCTTGTCAGAAAAAGTTCGGGAAGTCGCGAACTTTTGCGACCTCGAGCTTGAAGACTGCGACACGACAACAACTTTCTCAAAATGGCCGGTATCAAACGCAAATCCACCGGCGCAAGTGCGCCCGACATCAAGGACAAGAGCAAAAAGGTCAAGGTCGACAAGCCCACAACGAAGAGCGAGAAGAAGCGCGACGTTAAGCCGGTCAAGAAGGCGAAGAAGGCCAAGGAAGAGAGCTCCGACGACTTTGAAGAGTCGGACACGAGCGAGAAGGACAATGGCTTCTACGGCTTCTCCGCGGCCGACGGTGCCGATGTCGACATGAGCGACGCCGACAGCAGCGACGAACAACCCGCAAAGTCCAACGGCAAGACACAGAAGCGCAAAGATGGCGATGAGACTTCAGAAAAGCCTGAGGGCGAGGGCGTAGAGTCCAAGCTGGCGGGATTGAACGGTAAGATAGAGCCATCTACCCTGCTCAATCACTCAGCTAACCGTCCCTCCAGTAAACAATTCGCGAGAGGCGCACGCAAAACAAAAGGCCCTTGCCAGAGAACGAAAGGCCGCGAAGCCCAACGCCGACATCATCGAACGCTCCAAGAAACTATGGGAAAAGCTCAGGCTGAAGTCGCATGTCGACAAGGAAGAGAGGAAAGGGCTCGTCAAGGAGTTGTTCGAGATCATAACTGGCAGAGTCAAGGACTTTGTCTTCAAGCACGACTCTGTGCGTGTCATCCAAACAGCCATCAAATATTCGACAATGGAGCAGAGGCGGATGATCGCGAGAGAGCTAAAGGGCGAGTTCAAGGTTCTTGCTGAGGGCAAGTACTCCAAGTTCTTGATTGCCAAATTGGTAGAGAAGGGGTGAGTAATGTTCCTACTCCCAGCATAACGTATCTAACCGGTTGCAGTGACCCTGAAATCCGCGACCTTGTCATCACCGAGTTCTACAGCCACGTCAAGCGCATGATCAACCACCCCGAAGCCGCATGGATCGTAGACGATATATACCGAGCCGTAGCCACTCCAGAGCAGAAGAACCGTCTACTCCGGGAATGGTATGGTCCTGAGTTCTCCATCAAGGGTCTTTCTGCCGAGGGCACCGACAGCGCGGAGCTATCAGCCATCCTGAAAGAATCGCCGGAGAAGAGGAAGCCCATCATGGGCTACCTGGAGAACCAGATCAACTCGCTCATTCAGAAGAAGCTCACTGGCTTCACCATGCTACACGACGCCATGTTGCAATACTTCCTCGTATGCGAGCCCGGCACCGAACAAGCGAACGATTTCCTCGAACACCTCAAGCCAGACCCAACTACCAAGGAGGGTGAAGAAGCCGACAACGTCGATCTCATGAAGAACCTCGCGTTCACAAAATCAGGGTCGCGACTGGTGTCGCTTTGCTTCGCATACGGCACAGCCAAAGACCGCAAGCTCTTCCTGCGACCGTACAAGGACACAATAGAGACAATGGCCTTCGATCAACACGCCCACCACGTTCTTCTTGCTGCTATGGCAGTGACCGATGACACCAAGCTTTCCGCCAAGTCCATCTTCAGCGAGCTTCTACCCAGCAACGACGCCCTCCCCGAGAAGGTGTTGAATCTGGTCAACGACGCTCGCGCACGCACAGTCTTACTATACCCATTCGCCGCAGATGCGAAATGGTTACTGGATGACAACACCCGTGAGCGATTGAACGAATTGTATGCCATTCGCCAGACTACATCGAAGAAAGACCCAAACATCCGTCTGCAAGAAATCGCAAAGAGCATCGAGCCGCAGCTACTGACAGCTGTCACTGCTCGCGCTGCTGACTTTGCTTCCTTCACATTTGGCCTGCAATTCATGGGCGAGGTTCTCGTTGGAGCCCCAGAGGTGGAGCCGGCGAAGCGCAAAGAGGCACTGACAGAGGTCGCTCGTCTTTCACAATCAATCCTGGACTCCGCGCTACCTGCTTCCGCCGGCGACAACAAGGCTACCAGTCACGGCAAGAACATGTTGAAGATGCTGGTCCAAGGTGGCAAGTTTGACCCTACCACCAAGAAGGTCGTTCCCGTAGAACCTGCTCTCGGCTTTGCAGACTTGCTCTGGCCTCAGATCAAGTCTAATCTGCTCAACTGGGCGACTGGTCAGGGCTCCTTCGTGGTGGTATCCATGACCGAAGCTGAAGGTTTTGCCAAGAAAGACGAAGTACTGAAAGCGCTCAAGAAGGAGAAGAAGGCGCTAGAGGCGGCTGCTAACCCTCCAGGCGCACAAAACGGTGAGCCCAAGGGCAAGAAGCAAAAGAAGGGCGACAAGGCGGACGCGGCTCCTAGAGGAAACGCTGGAGCGAAGATTCTGCTTGAAAAGTTGTAGAGTAGCATGTATTTGATTTGAACATGTATGATGATACCCATGTAAGGCCTTCTTCATGCATTTATGTGCTTCAAGTACCTTGCTGCATCCCTCATTACGTCTCCTCGGCATCGATGTATACTAAATGCCCAGGTGTTGCCATGTGTCTTAGCAGTCCAAATCGGGAAGCGCTTCCGCCGAAACATGCAAGCACACACACCTGCCAACCCGGACTTACCCCGGTACTTGATACCACGACCTAATAACCTAGATTATCAATAAATCTACCCTTCGGACCACATTATCTTGCTCACTAACTGTCTCTCCTCTAAATCGACCTGGCATCGCGCCAGTGTCACCATCGCGGCTACCCAGCTTTTATATCCTCTCGTCTGCACACCAAATATACCCGCAGTACACAATTGCGAAAACCACCCAAGAACGAGATGTCACGCGAATTCAATATCGACGAATCCTCCCTCCCCTCAGTCTTCCAGCAGCAATGGAAATCCAACCCCGACCCGACCGCGTTGCCCTTTCCCCGCGACAACCCACCATTTGCTCTCACAGCCATAGATTGGCAGCAGCTTTCCCTTTCTGACTCGGAATTCACACCGCATTCTTGGTCCAACCTCCAGGACCTCATTTTCACCAACCACCTCGAAGAGCTGAAACGCTGGCCCAGCGCCTTGAAAGCATATCTCGCGTGGACAGCGCATGTAAAGCAGAAATACGGCAGCGTAATGACATACCTGCTCGACCAGCGACTTCTCTGGGACCCAGTCGAAGATGAGACAGGGGCGTTGCGGTTTGATGTAGTCAACAGCACGCCTTTTGCGGATCCAGCGGACTACAAGATTCTGAGGAATGACTGGACGTATGCGTTTGTGCCTGGTATCAAGCATATTGTTGTGTGGTTGAAGCAGCGGTTACCGGTGGATGCGAAGGGTGCGTTGAGTGAGGCAGGAAGGGCGCAAGTGGAGGGTTTTGTGAAGAGAGAGTTTAGGGATAAGGCGGGAGAGAAAGAGGAGGGCAGCAAGGTTATTTGGTTCAAAAACACGACAGATTTGCAGAGTGTGAGGAGTTTGGAACATGTGCATGTTCTGGTCAGGGATGTGGAGGAGGAGGTGCTGAGAGAGTGGATGGTTTAGAAGATGATAGGGTTTCCTGGGATCAGTCTGTTTGGGGAAAACATGTGTATACTGTGCATACGTAGTTTGGTGGTAAAGGACAGTGGATGTGAGAACATTCGTGTTACTACTCAGGTCGTAGTCTAATTGGTCAGAGGCAACCACCGTTCAGCCGCATTCTAGGCATCGGACCTCCAACTTGCACAGATTCGACCTTCTCGTCAACAGCACCCCCTTCTCATATCATGGCACAATCAACCTTTCCAACCCAACAATACACCTCAGACCTCTTCGTCGAGAGCTGCGGCGCCATCCTCTACGACACTACTCGCCAGAAGGTCTGCCTAATCCATCTCGCCCAATCCAACATGTGGACACTACCCAAAGGCCGTCGAAACGTCGGAGAATCGCGTCGAGAAAGTGCACTGCGCGAAGTGTACGAGGAAACTGGATATAAGTGTCATATCTTGCCAGTGGACATGAAAACCAGAGCCACTATCGCTGGCGACACGGCCGACGCTCCAGATGTAGCGCGCATCTCGCGCGATTCGGTAGAACCTTTCATGGTCACTATGAGGACTTTGAAGGATGGTCAAGGTGTCAAGATTATATGGTGGTACGTCGCGATGATGGACCAAGGTGCTTGCGAAACGAAAGGGCCTGCAGAAGAGGGTGTTGAGACGGGCTCGTACTCCTATGAAGAGGCTGAGAGGTTATTGTATTTTGAGACAGATCGAGAGGTGTTACGCAAGGCTCAGGCATTGGTTGCGAAGTTGGGTTGATCTTTCGGGTTCCAGAACTTGATATGATACTAGCAGCTTTCAAGAGGCCGCAGCCTAAACCAATATAAATGGCGAAACATAACAGAAGATCAAAGCAATGTAGGGTCTTAGGTTGCGTTGCTCTTCATGGGACATGGATGTTTATGTTCTCCCTTGGAAAGAGGGTGCTACTAGACAGAGTGTAAATCCTTGACGTTGAGCGTGACCTCATGTTGCGATAATAACTCGGTAGATTCCGAGCTGCATCATGCCTTCTCAAGATGGCGCGTACGTGGCTTGGCTGGTGTGAGCGGACCAAGCGTGGTTGCCCTACACCAGGAAGCATCGTGGCGCAGTCTACAACAGTATGGAACGAGCAAACCAAGAAGGACATGTACACGTTTAAATTCCCCAGGATCGCTCATCACACTGCGGTAATCTTCTCACATTCTGCCGTGGTTGGCTAAGAAAAGAACGTGCAGAGAGTTGGGCTCGGTTTTGTGCCACCCCTCCATGCCGGATTTCCGATAGAAGGTGGGGCACCCATTGTGGCTAGTGACGTACGATCGCACAGCCTCTTTCACGTAACATCAGCAGCTGACACAAACAGTCAATCGCAGGCTCTTATTGCGCTGAGCTGCAACATCTTCTATTCCCTCATCGCCCTCTACATACCGTGACCATGGGAATCTCCTCGCAGTACGTTCTGCTTATCGCTATCGCTATCCTCGTTCTGCTCCCAGCCGGCGCAGACGCTTTCGGTGCTGGAAACATCGCGTCGATATCGAAAATCGAAGGCAAAAACTGGCGTCATGGCGATATCGAAGATATGCTTGCGACGGTCGCTTGCTTGAAGGGCCACAAGTGGAAGAGTAACATGATCAAGGTATGCCCAAATGGCGATGCAGCTGCGATCATGGTGACTGACCTTACGTGTAGCGTGTGTACTTTGGCAACTGGCTACGCGATTACTCACAAGTAAGCCCAACTGAATGTGCGACGTCGGAATACGCTGACCAGCTTAGGCTGTTGATGTTGGAACGTTGGCTAAAGTTCAAGTACGCGAAAGCAGCAAAAGAGATTTCCCCCATCGACATGCTTACAAAACGTAGGGAGAAACGATTCGCGTTCTTGTCTGGGTTCTGTCATTCATGTCTTTTGGCTACGCAACTGGAGAGTTTGAAGTCACAGCCGAGAGGCTAGGTGTGTATAGGCCCGAAGAACACATCGGTAAGCGAACTTGAACCTCTTCTGCTTCGTCCTACTAACGAGAGCCCAGATAACCCTGTAAGCCACTGCGATCGACGCAGACAAGAATGCATTGATACTGACTCCCCAAAGAAGGACTATGCCGACAATGAAGACGCGAGAAAATACGACCCTCGTCTTCGAGGACCAGTATCAGATGCTGAGCTTGCAGTGGATCCAAACACTGGTATGAAGAACTACATCGCAAACGAACATGGTAACTGGGCTACCTCGACCGGATATGTGAAGTACTCTTTCGCTCGCGCCATCCACTTCGGTCGACTTTACACCCACGGCCAGTCTGGTCAACGTGGACGGGACGAAGACCTTTCGGAAGCGCTTCGCTGTTTGGGCCAAGGACTGCACTGCCTGGAAGATTTCGGAGCCCATACCAACTACACTGAACTCGTGTTGCGTGAACTGGGCTACACTAACGTATTCCCTCACGTGGGCGTCCAAGCTGGCATCAACCTCCATGGAAAGCACACCTATCCTCTCGTAACAGGCACGTTCGGAGGTGTTGACTTCTTCCACTCGGTGCTAGGAGAAGCCAATGATCACATTACTCAGACTGAGATCGATGAGGTGAACACTGCTCTCGTAGATGCAGTTGGTGGGTCTGGTGGACAGAGAAGCGGACCAGGAGGCCAATCCAACGCTTGCAGTGGACTCATTGATGTTCTGAGCAAAGTCCCTGGTACTGGCGATCTGATTAGCCAAGCCCAGAGCCTGCAGGCCTCGTCAGATGCTCAAGCTGCAGAGAACGCGCGAGGTGGGTACGGCGATTACAGTTCGTCTAGGGCTGGACCTAACGACTTCGCTGCACCACCTGGATCCATGGGCGGACCACCAGGACCGGATATCCCAGGAACGAACACCGACCCAGCCACCATTATCCCCAAGATATACCCAATCCTAGGTAAGGAGTCTCGAAAACATAAATCTATAATCTAAACTAACCTCCACAAGTCTTCCGCGACAACGTTGTCCGCAAGATCTCGGCCATCGTCTCCAAGATCCCCGGTCTAGAGAAGCTGATTGAGACCATCACCGAGCGCGTCACGCTGTTTGTGCTGTCACTGCTTGCGCCCTTCATTCTACCCATCATCAAGACAGCGTCGTCCCAGCTGAAGAGCGGATCTTCTGCCGTCATTGACTCAGCGGCCAAGCACCAGTTTGAGGTCTGGACGGACCCTACATCCACCAACCCAACACACAGCATGCTGTCCAAGGATCACTTTTCCAACGTCTTGAACCCACCAGCCGGTCAAGTCGCGGTCGCTATCCTACAGTATGTCGCGCCCCGCGTCATATACGCTTGGGACCACCCGGATGTGCCGGTCGACGAGGTCCTGCACGACTGCATGCGCGTGTTCCATCACCCAGCACTTCGCGACCCGCACTGCGAGGTACACAACAACATGTTCAAGGTCGTTGAGCAATGGGCCCGCAACTACCACGGAAAGGACCTGAACCAGATCCTGTCTTCTGAATCTGTAAAGGCTGGACATAACCACAGCGGAGACCACGATCACTCTGCAGGCCACAGTCACGGTGCGGTGAACATGTCGAGCTTTGGCGGCCACAGCCATGGCGGTGGTGGTGGCGGTGGTCATCAACAGCAGTCCAGCGGATCCGGCGATCTCCTGGGTTCCTTGACGAGCAAACTTCCAGGTCCTCTCGGCGGTATGCTCAGCAGCTTCGGTGGCAGCTCTGGAAGAACTCGCGACATGGACGATGAACCCTCTGCTTCCTCTTTGGCAGCACCAGGTCCAGGTCCATACCAGCCTTCGCCATCACCTCAACCCTCGCAGTGGGCTGACTTCCAACCCTACCAGTCCTCCTACGCAGGTGAAGGTTACCAGCCGCCTGCCGAGTACAGCAACGCTGTGCCCTCTGGCGGATACGGATGGGGCCAGGGCCAGTACTCTGGAGGTCAAGGTGCGGAGCCTAGCTATACGGTCCCTACAAACTACCAGCAAGGGTACGAAAACTACCCTGCTCCTGGAGGCTATGGCCAGCCACCGGCTCAGCAGCCCCCGCCAGGATCTTATGGTGCGTATAACCAGGGTGGCGCATACAATTCGTATGATCAAGGCGCGCCTGGAGAAGGTAGCGCAAGAGCGTGGGGCGCTGGAGGAAACTCAGGGTGGTAAGCGCTGGTACAAATACCCAGGCGTTGACGGCTGTAGAGTGAGTGAGGCGTCCCTGGCGCGGCTTCCAGATGGAAATGTCCACTGCAACATCTCCGTAGATTCATGAGTAATGCGAAATATGACCTTTCAATCCCGACAACAAGTGAAGTGCGGTAGAGTAGAGATTCTCATGTCATTGTTCTTCCTCCATATCTCTGCGACATCTCATGCCTTTTGATTCCAACTTCTTTTTTGTAAATACATGATATCGAAGAAACGCTTTCCAAAACAGATAGCCCCAAGCCAGATGATATGCCAAATGAACGCCGGCCGTTATGCTAGCGTCTCGCGTTTCGTGAATATTCGGGTGTGGTATTGGTACAGGCTACGCAAGCCAATCTATCCTCATTCTATCGTCGTAGATGATGACATGTGCCCGATTTACTCGTTGATCTTAGCCAGAAGCCTACACAACGTATGTTAGCCACCAATTCCAAACCGCCAAACCACGCATCCTGAATGATGCGGAGAACGTACTCGTGGTCCCTGAAAAGGCTCAACTCCTCCTCGCCAACCTTGATGGGACTTCCGCCGAATTGCGGGATCAAGACCTTGTCGCCGGGTTGTACGCTGGGGGTAACGCGCTTTCCATCCTTGTCAAAGGCGCCGGGGCCGACGGCGAGGACTTTTGCTTCGTTGAGCTCCTTGACGGCGGTCTCGGGGAGGAAGATGCCGGTTGCGGTCTTGGCTTCGGGCTTGATGCGCTGGACGAGGATGCGGTCGAGGAGGGGAGCGATGCTCTTGATGGACTTGATTGCGGACTGTGCGGGGGGAATTGGTTAGCTGGGAGCTGAACTGGAGGTGGAAGTGGAGGATGGGTGGTGGGGTGGTTGTGGTGGTGCGCAATGCTCGTGTCGATAGATTCGTATGGTGGGTTGGTATTGGGGGAAGCTTACCATGTTGACGGACGGAAGAGAACTGGGTATCACGTAGAATCAAGAAAACGTTGTAGGTGCGCCGGGCTTGGAGAGAGAAAGATGTTCGGGTTGAAAGCTAACCAGCAAGATGAAGATGTTGTGCTTTGCCCTTCCAGAAAATTCCATGTCCGTGCACTTACCTCGGAACAGCCTGCGGAACGTTTGGCATCTTCGCGCATTACCAGAACGAGTAACCTCACATTCGTCCCTTGCTAGGTGCTTTCTTTTCGCATTGCATCGGCATCGACCAGTGCTTCTTATGTGGAGAAACAATGTCCGACGATGCGGGCATTGTTACCATACTGCGAGGCGGAACCATGTAGCTGGGCTGTTCCGACGCGCGCAGTCTACGAGCGCTCTGCCAATTGGGAACGATGAGTTCGTGTCGGCTATGCGGGATGGCGTGTTCGTGAAAGAGAAGGGTGATGATGTAGGCAAGAATCTTTTGGGTAAGTTGCAGTCGTATTCGCTGTAAGGATGCGCGACTGATGTGCGAGACAGGCATTGCCATCAGTGGAGGTGTCGATTCAATGGCACTCGCTGCGCTCTACGCACAGTCTCGAGTACAAGACCCCAAGCTGCCTCTCCCTCATGGCTTCATCGTAGACCACAAAGTAAGACCGGAGAGTACAGAGGAAGCGAAATGGGTGGCACAGCAATT